CCTTTAGAGTTTGTTTTCTGTTTTTCTTTGTCTTTCTCTTTCAGAATGGTGCTTTTCCTGATTTGCCTGTTGATTCTTTATTGTATGTTTATACATACATACACACACAGTATAAAATAAATATTTATGTAAATATATATTATTCTACATATATAGGTTACATAAGATATATTTATATTTATATGTTACCTATAGTATATAATAAATATACATACAAAATGTATATAAATATATATTTAACATATATAAAATATATATTTAATGTTTAAAGTATTTAAATACATTAAATTAAAAAATTAAAATATATAAAATATATATATATATATAAACTGGTCACTGATGTGGTTTTCCTTTTTTTTTTTTTTTTAAAGATTTTTATTTATTCATTTGACAGAGAGAGAGAGCACAAACCGGGGGTGCAGCAGGCAGAGGGAGAAGCAGGCCCCGCTAAGCAGGGAGCCCGATGTGGGACTTGATCCTAGGACCCCGGGATCATGACCTGAGCAGAAGTCAGACGCTTCACTGGCTGAACCATCCGGGCACCCTTCCTTTGCTTTTAGTAAGTAAAATGTCTTCCAATTTTCTCTCCTATGTAGTAATTGTGAACAAGTGGCTGGGTTTGATGGGGCACGACCAGGAATGCTAAATATCAGGTTTACTTTAGGATGAGTAGGCAAGTAACTAGCTCTCTGGATGCTGGCCCTGAGTACCAGAATGAGAATGGTATTACTCTGTGTTGTCAACATAAAAGCTTTCATTTCCTCTCTACTATTTACACAATTCATTTGAAGAAGCCTTTTGGGGTCTTTTTGGTTTCTTTGTTTGGTAGCAGGTGTCTTTGTCAGCTCTCAGAGTGTACAATGAAGAAGGAAATGTGTGTGGTGCCTGAGTCAAGTGTACCATATTTACAATGTTATCTGCATTTTCAACCCTTAATCTCACTTCTGTTCTCTGCCATGCCTCAACCAACTCTTTTGTAGCTTCTTCACTGTAATTTTTGGCAATGGTTTTGGGTGTTATTCCTAGTCAGACCTCTACTATAGCTTTGTTTCCCAGGAAATTGTTGAAGTTTTATTTACTTTTCTCTTCTCTGCTGATCATCCTTCTCTCCACATAAGTACATGCATACAAACACACTATCTTTACTTTTTTATTTATTCCTCAGTTTTTCTACTTCTAAATTTTTTATTTCAGCAGTGTATAGGAAAGAACATTAGGCAAATTATATGCCGAGTCCACCATCTTGAACAGTTAGCCAAGAATAACTCTCTATAGATTTTATAAGAATATATTTGCCACTTAGATAGAACCTATTGCAGAATCCCCCCAACTGACTATCCCTTGGTCACATGACCACCTCTACAAAATTCTTATTCAAAGGGAATTAGAATTACTTCCAGGGTAATGGGAAGAGCTCACATCTATTTAGTTGTTTGGTAACCTAACAAATTCGTTTTATTAATCAAGGAAGAGGAGAAAAATGGTGACTGGTTAGGCAACCAACAGTGTCCGCCAGCATAATTTTTTTCCATATCATCATCATTTATTAACAAGACTAGGGAAGCTCATTTTAAAATTGAGTCTTTTATTAATCAGCATCCCCCAGAGGTTAAGTGTCAGCTCCAGGAAAGAAACTGCACTGGGGTCCAGCAAAGATGTAATTTTAAGACCCAATGTTTTAAGTTGGGGTATGCAAAAAGAAGGGGGAACAATGGACCGAGAATAGGTAAAACCAAAAAGGTCCAGAAGCCGAAGCTGTTGGACACTGCTGAGCTGAACAGACCTAATGGACACACATACTAAAAGAGATACTAAGGGTCAGACATGAGTCTGGAGCGTACCAACCCATTCTGACAACTAATGGTATGATAAGGGTGAGAATGAAAGGCTAACATGCTAAGGATGATAGAACATACAGATGAAAAGAACCAAAAAACATGGATGACTTTGTTGAGCCAATGAAAATATGTTGGAAACACTTTCACCTTGAGATTTTCTGTTTTTGAGACAATTTTGAGAAAATTAAGGCACTATTAGTCAAATCTAGTTACATACACACACGTATATAATTTTACATATATGGGTTCATATTGTGTATGTATTATTTTACAAACTATTTACTCAGTTGTACTCCTTGATATACTTCCATATCAAGCAATACAGATTCATGCCATACTTTTTAATTCTTATAAAGTATTCCACTTTAGAGATGTGCTGTACAATAATGCCCTCTTATCTGTGCAAGATACTTCTTTTTTTTTTTAAAGTTTTTATTTATTTATTTGAGAGAGAGAGAATGAGAGATAGAGAGCACGAGAGGGAAGAGGGTCAGAGGGAGAAGCAGACTCCCCGCTGAGCAGGGAGCCCGATGCGGGACTCGATCCCGGGACTCCAGGATCATGACCTGAGCCGAAGGCAGTCGCTCAACCAACTGAGCCACCCAGGCGCCCTGTGCAAGATACTTCTAAGACAGCTCCAGTAGATGCCTGAAACCAATGCTAGTAACAAACCCTGTATATACCATGTTTTTTCCTACACATACATAGTTATGATAAAGTTCAGTTTATAAATTAGGTACAGTAAGAGATTAACAACAATGGCTAATAATAGAATAATTACAACAATATAATGTAATAAAAGTTATGTGAATGTGGTCTCTTTCTCTAAATATCTTATTGTAGTGTACTTACCTTTCTTCTTTGGATGTGAGAGGATAAAACACCTACTACGAGGTGAAGTGAATGTCACAGGCATTGTGACATAACATTAGGCCACTATTGACCCTTTGATGATATATCATAAGGATCATCTGCTTCCAGATTGTGGTTGACCTCAGGTAACTGAAACAACAGAAAGGGAAACCTTGGACCAGGGGCAGGACTACTATAATCATTTTAAAGCAATCCCCTATTGTTTTTGAAATAATATATTTTTAAGTACAAGTTTTAGTTGGTTGCCCAACCACCCATTAATTTCAACCCACCCTACTCAGTATTTTTTTTTTAAGATTTTATTTATTTGTCAGAGAGAGAAAGCAAAAGCAGGGGGGAGCGGCAGGCAGAGGGAGAAGCAGGCTTCCTGCTGAGCAAGGAGCCCGATGCGGGACTCCATCCCAGGACCCTGGGATCATGACCTGAGCTGAAGGCAGATGCTTAACTGACTGAGTCACCTACGCGTCCCCACCCTACTCAATATTGACAAAAGATTCATACAATCCCATTTTCTAACTGCCAGATCCTGAATGCCTACAGTACTAAATTCTTTAAATTAAAAATTGAGTCTTCTTACAGATTAGTTTCTAATTTTAACTTTATTGTCATTACCTTCCAATAAGCACCTTCTATTATAGACCAACAAGTTACTCATTATCATAGAGTGCATCTGTAATCTTGGTTCTTTGTCTTTGCTCATGGCACACTTTCTGGACAGTCTTCTTTCTCTTCATTAGGAATCCTGTCATCAGACTCTTCCCACTGACATTTTGGAAAACCCTCCAGGGATTACAAAGAGGACAAAGATAGTTCTTCGAGTTCAGTGAAGTGTATTTTCCTCTAGGTCAGGACTGTCTAAAAGAAATAAGATGCAAGCCACCTATGTAATTTAAAACTTTCTAGTAGCCATATTTAAAAAAAAATGAACAGGTAAAATTACTTTTAATATACTGACCCAGTGTATACCAAATGTTAATATTTCAATAGGTACTCAATATAAGAATTAAGATATTTTATTTTTTTGTACTAAGTTTCAAAATATGGTGTATATTTTGTACTTACTGCATGTTTCCATTTGGATCCATCACATTTCAAGGGTTAAAGAGCCGCATTTGATTAGTTCTAGGGCAGTTCTAGTGAGGTCCGTTTTCAGTCTCCTCCTTCCTTAAGTCTCCAAGGAACTGTGATAAGAACAATCTGTCACGTGAATTTCTAGCACTTTTTGTTAGTACCTCTCATTATCATGCGGCTTCCTCTCATTATTTACCTTTTGACGCATTTGCCTTGTCTCATAAATTAACCTGTAAATTCTTTTAAGTCTGGGACCATGGGCTGATCCAATCTCAAGGTTGGGAATAAGTTTAATAAAACCATGAACTAATTCTTTTGATGTATGGCTCCCCTTCACCTAGTGTCTATGAAGTAAGCCTTTAGAATATAATTAAGGTCAAATCCAGTGGTTGAGGCATCCACATATCCTCAGGCAGAAAACTTCTGTGACTAGTGCTAGAAGGGGATCTTCTTTTCAGGATCTGAAATCTGTTTCTCTCAAGTCTGCATCTCTTGAGACCACATGAAATAAATCTAATGTCACACGACTAGTGTTTATTTGGAGATGTTCCAGGAGCTTTCTCTCTATGAGAATCCTCCCAAGTTCAATCAGTACTTTTTTTTAATGTGGTACGTTTTGGGGTTCTCTTCATCATCTGCTCTTCTATGAAATAATCCCAGCTTCTCCGAGGTTGTTTTTTGTTTGTTTGTTTGTTTGTTTTTTTAAGTGCTCAATCTAGATTGAACACAGAACTCCAGTTATGGTTTGGCCAGTTAAGAGTATTAAGTGGATCACTATTGACTGCCTTTCAATAAAACACAGTTCCATTAGGCATCAAGACACATTGCTCATGAAAAAGGGGGATGGAAGAGGAGGAAGCTAGGACACATTAAGTCATGCCCTCATGCCGACGTTTAGTCTAGAACTGTATACACATACACCAGACAGTTCTTGAGGTTAGTTAATTTTTCTTAATGTCGTCTGTCTTTTCAAATGAACCAAGGAATCTTCAGACATTTTGTTTTTGGTGGGGGCCGTCAGACCAAAGAACCGGCTAGCAGAGGTAACTTTAAGATAACCGAGCTGAGAATTCAGAAAGCTTAAGGAAAGCGGACCTGAGACCAGAGAACCGTGTATAAAGTGTCCAGTAGCTGGGAGCTCTGGCTGGTGATGAAGATCGCAATTACCCGGTTCTTCAGACTTCATACTTACTGCTCTTCTCTCCTTTATAGGAATTATTACTTGTCTTCATCTTAGGGAAAAGAATAGGAGAAAAGATGCAGTTGAACTCAAGTAATTGCGGGGAAAGTTCTCCGGTAGCGAGCTGGAAGCAGCAGGCCTGACTCCGCACGGACACCCACCTGACCGCGGAGTCCTAGGAACGCGCGCGTTCGCGCCCGTGCCCGTTCCGGGGCGCGCCCTCGGCGCCAGGGCAGTCCTCTTCGCAGCTCTGCTCTGCGGGTGGCAGGCGGGCGGCGGCGCGCGCGGACGGGGTGGGGCAGGAGGGAGCCGACGTGCCGACGTTGGCGCAGCTGCAAGCGGGTGACGTGTAGGCCCGCGCCTGCTCCGCCCTCTCCCTCCTTGCCGGGTTTGTAGGTCTGTTCGGTGGTCGGGACGCTGTGCTCTGTGACTGGAAGCGACCCCAGAGAGCTCCGGGTGGGGTGCAGAGGAAGGCATAGCGGTGCAGTCGTCCGCGGGCATCTTCAGCTCTGCCCTCCGCTCCCCACCCGGCGTGGAAAGTAAAAATGAAAACGAAAGGGAGGGAGACGCGAAGGTAGGAGCTGACCGAGTGATGGGAAGCGCGTGAGCTGGGGCCGAGAGGTGAGGAGGTGGAGGTGGGAGGAGGAGGGGCGCCGCGTCCAGGGGTAGGTGGCGGGAGGCAGGGACTTCAGGGTGGGCGACGCGACCGGACAGCCCCCTCGGGACTAGGGGGCAAGCCACGAGCTGTCATCCCTCTCGGGGCCTGAAGTCTTGACCGTGATCTCTGACAGTCTGGTCCCACTCTTGGAATTTGTAGGTGGGGGTTGGGGGTGGTGATCAAAAAAATCAACCCAAGCCACATATTGCCCAGGTGTAAGGCCACAACGTGGTGACTAGATGGGGTGATTTTTCGTTCCTGTGCGAGGGTAATTTGTTTTCTTTAGATTTTGTTTGTTTTGTTACAAAGCTGTGGTAACTTTTTCGTTTTCCTCTCACAGATTTTGGGAGAAAAGTATGCTTTATATTTTTTTTACCCCCACACTGCAAAGTAAATAGTCTGGTTAGGGAGTTGGTCGTGGTGACTTGTGGGTGAATTTAGCAATCGCCGAGTCTAGAATTTCATTTTGAAGTAAGTAAATGTGTGCGCGTGTGAGGGAGGTGTTGTGGGAATGGGGGCAGTTGTATTAAATAGTTTTTATATCATAAGTTAACTTATTTATTGAATGCAATGCGTTCGTGTATTTTGCTATTCTTTGGTTTAAAAGAAGCATAATTGATATGAATGGTATCACATGTACACTCAAGCTAGTAAGCATATTTTCTTTCTCTAAGTAAGATTGGATTGAATAACCAGTATCTCCATCACTAGATTTCATGTTTCATGGATGAAATGTTTTTTTCTCATTTTCAGAGTGTTGTGAAAAGTTAAGAATTCAGCTTTTGATTCTACTCTGGATTGAACTTTTGTGCATGTATCTTTTATTTTTAATGATGGCTATAATAATAGTCTTGCATGAGAAAAATGCTCCTTAGAGATGCCAGTTAAGTGTAGGCTAAATAATCTTATTTGAATGAATTAATTTTTCATGGTTTAACCTTCTTGATCCCTGTTGAACAGTTCATTCATGTTTTCATCTGTGCCAGGCACTGTGCTAGGCCTGGAAAATCAAGAGAGCTGTAGTGTCTGTGCTTATGGAACTTTCTATAGTCCCACACCCTTTTAACAGAATCTTAAGTAGGGTTCCTTTTCATGTCGTGGATCTCTAGTGAACCAAAGTAAGGCTTTTCATGAAACTCAGTTATTGTCAGTGTTTATATGTAACTGGCTTCTAAAGAGGAGCAGATTATTTTTCTTGAACAGCATGACTTGATTTTGCCTTTGATCAAAAAGAAAGTATATATGCCAATGTTTTGCCAGTTAAGAGTAATTTTTTTCTTTTTTTTTAAGATTTATTTATTTGAGAGAGAAAGAGGGAGCACGAGGGGCAAAGGGAGAGGAAGAGAGAAAAATCTCAAGCACACTCCTCACTGGGTGGGGAGCCCAACGTGGGGCTCTATCTCAGGACCCTGAGATCATGACCTGAGCCGAAGTCAAGATTTGGCCGCTTAACCGACTGAGCCACGCAGGAGCCCCAGGAATAATTTTTTTTTTCTTTTTGCAAAACTGGCTTAAATACAACGTTCACAATTGGAAGTCAGTTTCTACCTGAAAACGACTTTATTTTTCCAGCTTTTACATTGGTCTCATTGGATCTCCTATGTGTTATTAACTTCTAATTCACAAGAATTATATGCACAAAGCATATTCATCAGAAATATGTATGGTACTTACTGACAAGTAAGTTTTTTGCCCCATAGTACCTTCTCTGGGGAGGTAGTTAGCATAAGCCTTTGCAGTGCAAAATATATCTTGATATAATGTGGCACAGTTTTCAACTTTGAGAAGATATCTACCTGAAGTTGAAATTTTAACAAACACAAACATTAATGGAAAGAAAAAGTGCATAATTACCAAGGAGGAAAGAATAAGGTATCTTATGTATTTATTAATTGTAAGAAAGTAGGCATTACATGTCTGTCTCCTACAATGTACTGTAAAGTTTTTTAAAGTAGGTACTGGGTCTTATTTCTTACATCTTTTGCCTATGCAGCTTAATCCATCTCTGAATATTCTGTTTTAATCAGATCATTCACCTGAAAGGGGCAAAAAAAATCATTTTGAGGGAAGCCTGGGTGGCTCAGTTGGCTAAGCCTCTGCCTTCAGCTCAGGTCAGGTCAAGCCCTGCATTGGGCTCCCTGCTCAGTGGAGAGCCTGCTTCTCCCTCCCACTCTGCTGCTCCCCCTGCTTGTGTTCTTTCTCTCTGTCTTTCAAATAAATAAATAAAGCTTAAAAAAAATCATTTCGAAACTCCTCTTTATTTTATGGATCAGAAAGTTGATACCCAGAGAAGTTAGCTGATTTTTATCATCAAACAAAAATGGACATCTGAACTCAGTTCTTGTTATTTTTTTTTTATTTTTTTTTATTTATTTGACAGAGAGACACAGCGAGAGAGGGAACACAAGCAGAGGGAGTGGGAAAGGGAGAAGCAGGCTTCCTGCCAGCAGGGAGCCCGACGTGGGGCTTGATTCCAGGACTCTGGGACCATGACCTGAGCTGAAGGCAGACGCTTAAGGACTGAGCCACCCAGTCGCCCCAGTTCTCGTTATTTTGATTTGACTTTCGTACTATGTCATTTTGCCTCTCCTCATTGTTATTTGAATAGGTTAACTCTTGGGGACCTTTGTAAATTAAGATAGAGTCTCATTTTATCTTTCTGGTTTTGGAGTTTTGGGCTTATCTTCCTCCACTTCTGTGGTCTCTTCAAAGAGAATTGTTAGGAAGTTCATTCATTATCAAAGGTTTGAACTGACACGGAAAATAAGGGTGGAATTTGGAAGAGGTACATAATTTTAAAGCTAGTAATATGTAATAAATTTACAGGTAGCAGTAAGCATTCACAGGATATGTTTTAATAAGATCATTGTTGAGAAGTATTTATATTTGAAGGAGAGAAAGTTCACACCTAGTTATTTAATAACTAAACCAGAGATTTTCAAACCTACTGAATCAAAATTTCTGGGAATGGTGTCTAGAAATGTCTGTGTTCAAACAACTCCCCAGTGATTCCAGTGCAACTAGTTCATATTGGAGAACTTCTGATTAAACCATATGAATTCAGAAGCCTCTTAATTTTCTGTTCTGGTCTATTAAAGCAGAACTTTAAAAGAAGGGAGGGAATTATCTCAGGATTATGGAGTAGTCAAAGAGGTAGTTGCTAATGTTTCCCAGAATTTTTATTTTTATTTATTTTTTAAAATATTTATTTATTTTAGAGAGAGAGAGTGGGTGTGGTGGGGGTGGGAGGAATAGAGAGGGGCAGAGGGAAAGGGAGAGGGAATCCCAAGCAGAGCCCAAGGTAGGCCTCCATTTCACAACCCTGAGGTCACAACCTGACCCAAGACCAAGAGTCAGACGCTTTACTGACTGTGCCACCCAGTCACCCCACTTTCTCAGCATTTTTAAAGACTTGCTAGGTCATTTTGAAGTTAAGTCAGTGACTAGCAAGTCACTCAGTTGTGTGTAGCTAAGAAACATGGCATGCAAATCTGATAAAGGAAAACATACTCCATTCCAAAGAGAGGAAATTCTTATTGGTGAGACAATTTTTTCTTATTTTCTTTTCTTCTTCTTTTTTTTTTTTTTTTTTTTGGTCCTATCTGGGATGGTTGATCTTGAGCCTGCAGGGAGAAGGCTGGGAGAAGGCTGGCCCCAGACTTCTCCAAGTCCACGTTTCTTTGCCTCCAATTCTTACACGCCCAAAGACAGAAAACCACACAGACACACCTTTGTTGGAGGGTTCTATTTGCCTTTTTAGAAAAATTTCTTTACTTACTTTCTTGAAAGTCAATAACATGCCCAACAGGCTAATCAGATGAAACAATATAAAAATGTTAAATTCTACTTTTAAACATCAATAGAGATGAGTATACCTTCATCTTGGTTTAAGAAACTTAATTATAAAACCCTACATAAATGATTTATAAGAAGAACTTAATGTGAGGATAATACTCAGTTTTCAAAAATAACGTAAGTGCATTTTTTCCCAGTGTGCATGCATTTTCTAAATTAGACCTGATTTAAGCAGGGTTTTTAACACCAGGGGGGTTCGTTAAATTGTTTTTCTAAGCATTCTTTAAGGAGTGAAGGAAATTTGCAAAATATTAGCACTTTCTGTACTCTGAGGTTGGGGAAACAAGGAATAACCTAAAGATTACTTCTGGAAAGAGTTATAGATTAATGTTCTGAGTACACATTATTGAACAAATAATTATTGAGTTTCTTGGTGTAGGCTAAGAACCATGCAAGGTACTGGGAAAAAGCAAGACCATACACTACTGCAGTTGTGAGGAGCTAGTCAAGATGCTGGCTTTGAGGGGCACCTGGGTGGCTCGGTTGGTTGGGCGACTGCCTTCGGCTCAGGTCATGATCCTGGAGTCCCGGGATCGAGTCCCGCATCGGGCTCCCTGAGTCTGCTTCTCCCTCTGACCCTCTTCCCTCTCGTGCTCTCTATCTCTCATTCTCTCTCTCTCAAATAATAAATAAAATCTTTACAAAAAAAAAAAGATGCTGGCTTTGAGACTTTGAATTGACTTGAAGCAAGGAAAAATACTAATACCCATGAATGCTGCCTGGTCAGTCTGAAGTAAGCAAGGTAGAGGCTTTGTCATTGATTTAAAAAGTGAAAAAGTTGGTATCCTAAGTTACTGGTTTTGCCCATTAGCTTGGGGAAAAAAAATTAGAGTTATTAGGGAATTTGAAAAATGGTTGATTTAACTCCAGTTTTTCAGAGCTCTTCTCTTTGTATTTATTGGATATAATAGAAATGCTAGTTAAGAAATAATAGGTGAGTGAAAGCTGTTCCTACATTCTTCTACTATGGTTTCCCTTCTGAGCCCACTCCTACCCTAGGTTTTCTAGTAACTGTCAACTTTTACCATTGCTTTTTGTTTTCTGTTATATTGGCTTGAGATTTAGAAAATACCCAAATATTAATTTTAGAATTAAATTTCTGTGTGTATAAGTTCTTAAGTTCTTTGAGAAGAGTGGCATCATGAATTGAATAAATCATGTTAGATTTTTATTTCTTTTGTGTTTGAGAAAACTTACTAGTTTGCAGAACATCTCCTTAAGGACTAAAATAAATTAATCAAATGATTAAATTAACTTATGTGGGGGGGGATATTTTTGAGGTCCCGAAATGAAGATGATGTAAACATTAAAAAAATACATATTTTATATATGTGTGTGTGTGCGTGCGTGTGCACGCACGCGCATGTGTGTGTATGTGTCCAGACCTGTAAATACTGCCCCTTTTTTTGTGGCCGCTTTGGCCTCCTTTTATCCTTCTTCTCAGTCCATCCATCTGGCCAAAATACTTACTGAGAACCTACTATGCCCCAAACACTATTTTATTTTTGGTGATGTGGATACTGCAATGAACAAAGCAAAATTCCCACCCTCACAGGGCTCATATTCTATTGGATGAAGCTGATTAAAAACACAGAAAATGTGTGTCATGTGATAAGTGCCATGAAGTAAAGTGAGTTGGATGTAAGAGAAGGATCAAAGAAGGGGATGCTGTTTTAGATAGGGTGTTCAGAGAAGTCTTCTCTGGTAAAGAAACATTTAAGCAAAGACCTGAGGAAATGAAGGAGCTACCTATGTGGCATGTGGGAGAAAACTGTTCATGCAGGGAGATCTGCTTAGGATAGTTATATCACTGGAAGGAAGGCCAATATGGATGTCCCAATATGAACAAGGAGGAGAGTTACAAGAGATCAGATCAAAATGTAAGAGAAAGCCAAATTCTTTAAGCCTTTTGAAGTTTACTCAGAGATATGGGAAACCTTTGAAAGATTTTGAGCAGAGGAGCGCCACAAATGTTAACCTGTTTTGGGAAAGAATCATTCTTGTTTATGTATGGAAACTAGATTGTTAGAGGGTAAGGATGAAAACAGGGAGACTAGATAGGCGATTGTAATAATCCAGGGAAGAGAGGGTGATGGTCAGAAGTGGTCAGATTCTGAGTATATATATATATTTTTTTTTTTCTTAAAGATTTTTTATTTATTTGACAGAGACAGCGAGATAGGGAACACAAGCAGGGGGAGTGGGAGAGAGAGAAGCAGGCTTCCCACAGAGCAGGGATCCCGATGCGGGGCTCGATCCCAGGACCCTGGGATTATGACCTGAGCGGAAGGCAGACGCTTAACGACTGAGCCACCCAGCCACCTCGAGCTTCTGAGTATATTTTGAAGGTAGAGTTGGGAGAATTTGCTGATGAGTGAAGGATAACTCCAAGTTTTTTTGGCCTTAACGACAGGCAGAATGGAGTTATGATTGATTAAAGTGAGGTAGACCACAGGAGGAGATTTTCAGAGATCAATTTTGATATTTTTAAGTTTGAGTTGACTATTAGACATGCAAGTGGAGATGTGAAAGAGTAGTGGGTATACAAATCTGGAATACAGATGAGATGGGTGGGATGGAGGTAAGAATTTGGAATTAGCATATAAATGATACTTAAAGCCTTGAGACTGAATGGGATCACCTAAGGAACAAGTGTAGTTAGAGAAGGGGTCTGAGATCTGATCTTAGGGCACAGTAGTGCTTAAAGGATAGGAGGATGAGGAGGAACCAACAGGAGAAAAAGTGCCAGTGTTGTTGGAGAAAAAACAAGAGATGAGATATTGGTGTCCTAGATGCAAAGTGAAGCAACTGTATCTAGAAGGACTAGGTCAAAAAACTGACAGGAATTAAACAAGGACTGAGAAGTAACATTGAATTTGGCAATGTTGAGGTTATTTGTGAGGTTATTTGTAACATTGAATTTGGCAATGTTGAGGTCATTTGAGCTCTTTTGGTGGAACAGTGGAGGTAAAAGCCTGATTGGAATGGAATTATGTTGTAGATAAGCTGAAAAGTAGGTGTTAATTGAAGAGGGCTGTGGAGTCAGTGGAGGTTTTTAAATATGGGAGCCCCTATACCATGTTTTTGGGCTTGGAGATGATCCAGTAGAGAAGAAAATATTACTAATAAAGAGGGGACAGTTTCACGTCAGCAATTTTATCATGTATCCGCACTGAATAAATTTTTCTTGAATGAATTAATGAAGGGATAAAAAGTGTTTTCACCAGATGCAATATATTTTTTATTGGTACTGAATAAAAAGTGGGATAAAGAACACTTTGTTTAACACCTTCTTTTTCAATGATTGTGAAAATTGATTAGGTTTCAGTCTTTCTTAGTTAGATTACCACCTTGAGTTTTACTTTTTCACCCTGGTGAGCCTGGTGTTTCTCAAGTCTTTACAAATGGTCTCTTAAAGTGTGCTGCTATGATGGGCTTGTCTAATATTTTACTTTGTGTCCCTTTTTCCCCTTTAACCTTTTAAAAAGTTGGTACCTATTTAAAAAAATTGGCAACCTATTATGAACTATTACCTTAAATGGCAATGAAGCACAATGTGTGTGGGAACATTAAACAAGCACCCAGATGCTCAGTGTTCAGATGTTCAGTCTCTCATTAACCTAATAATTTTTAGGTAGTATTTTCAGAACCTATGATTTGCCATTTAGTTTGATGCTTTGAAACTATTCTCTCTTACTAGTCTCTGTATTTATTGAAACTTAATTAAAGCTTTTAATTATGGAATATTTCAAGAATATGGGAAATTTCAGAAAATAACAAATGCTAATATACTTGCCATGCAGATTAACAGGTTTTAATTTTTATCTTATTTGCTTCAGATCTTTGTCTTTTAAAAAATACTGCAATTTACAGTATGTAAACCCAGGCATAATGAGGGGTTTGATGGAAAGAAATGGGATTAATTAACTTGGTGAAGAGAAGACTTAGAGCAGGACGACTGGTGTGTTCACCTACTTAGAAGTCACTAATGTGGGAAAGAGTGCATAAATTTGATAACTTAAGTACAGATAGTTTTTTTAAGTATGTTTATGATCAGAAAGCAACATTTAGTAGTCAGTTATTTTATGGTCTATACTTATATGGAAATTTTTATAAAACATTGAAAAACATCATTGTTCAACCTATACAGATGTGGTTTTTATTAAGTCAACAGATGATTTTCCTGGTATATTCACTGTAAAAATTGTTAACCAACAATATTTAGAGAAATGACTGTATTACTGTTTAAAAAATTTAAAGTCACGTGCTATAATTTTTTAAAACAGAGAAAGTGAATTTTAAAAATGTTTGTAATGCTTTTTGAAACATGATGTTTCTTTCAGTAATTAGATGTTAAAAAGGTAGGGAGTGTCATTGTCAAAACTTGTTTTTCCTCTCAATTGTAGGATATATAATTAAAAGTGGCCTAGGAGTTAGAATAGAAAGAATGAGAACTAATAGGCCTGACCCTTTCAAACATTTTTTCAGTTTAGGAAGCTGTGAGTGGCAGAGGATGAAGCCTCATAAGAAGTGATGGTTCATCTCAGAGCAAGGCACAGGGAAATATTCTGGTGGACTCTATTTGTCAGGGCATGTTTCTGACTAATATCACAGAAAGCAAAAGAAAGTGCTCTGTTTTTTTTATCGGTAGTTAAGTTTTTACTCATAAATATTGGAAACAGACATTTCAGACCTGAATGTTAAATAATGGCCATGGCAATACCTTTTTTTTCCAGAAATAATAAATCATATATATTAAGTGCAGTGTAGTAACATCATAGAATTTTTACTTTCTATGTATTTGTGCATACAGAGGCATTCATAATGCCTAGTGAGTTAGTTAATAATTTACTTTTCTGTTTTTATATTTTTGTTTACCATATAAATTCATCTGAGTCCTGACTTTAGTGTTTTTCTGTACTTGAGAAAGAGGGGTAGTGAGTGTGTGCCAACTTCTTTTATATAATGTCAGTGTTAGGGCTATTTAAGAAATTCCTCTACTAGCACAAAACAATAAGTAAAGATTAAGGTCATCATACCCTTCGATAAATATTTTTTTGGGGTTCTGAGTGGATAATCCTAGTTGTTTGGGTGTAAAAACTTGAGTCAGATTTCCAAAAGAAGCTCATATTCAGGAATGTAATGGTGTTTCATAAAGTTGTGATATAGTGGAACAAGTGTAAGGTTAGCAAAACCCTTTCTAAAGAGCTAAGGCTAGAGAATCACTAGAGTTTTGGTTTGGTGAATTCAGGTTTTATTAAGGGACAGACAGAAGTTCTTTGGGTCTGTCCTCCAGAAGCCCATAGGTTGGGGTGGAATGAGAATTCTGCCTTTCTCAGATAATCTGAGCCAGGACCTTTTCAACTGGACCGGTGTGGAGAGAGTTAAGATACACACTCCTAGTATGTTGTGTATCTGTTCCATGTATTCTCTAGAGTAATATGTGAACTTGTTTGGTGTTCGTGAAGTGCTTTCTGAATACTCTTTTTGTTCTTAACTGGTGCTGATATGTTTTTCTAGACACTTGTTTTTTCAAGGGCATTTAAAGAAAAGCTTTCTTTATCCTTAAAAAGTAAAATTAATACAATTACGGAGGTGTCATAATATGAAGACTTCGGTTTTTAGTTATGAGCCTAACTAGGTCCATTCTTCCTAGGGTGGGAAACCTGGGGTTAATATAAGTAGTTGGGGGAAGTAAATTAGAGAGTATCAATCTTATATAAATTTCATTTTTAATGAATCATTATATATGTTGATTTATATAAAATGTTTATATGTATGTATTATTTATCTTTCCTTACTTTCTCTTTTCTTCATGCTCCAATGTGTTTTCTAATTTGATTGGAAACTATTGAAGAGCAGTTGCTTCTTGCTTAAGAATGAGTTAGGATATAAAGTAAACTTCTTGGGTGGAAATTATGAATAGTTAAAATTGCCCTTGAAAATCCTTCAGTTGGACACAAGTTTGTCAGAACACACTGTCTTAGTATGTTGTGTGCAGTCGTGTCTTTTCTCCAGACTTGGAAAATAATCAGTTTCTTCACATGAACTAGGTGAGAAAGTTGGCTTGCTTTAATGGCCATGATGTGTGTATATATATATTTTTAAAATATTTTATTTATTTATTTTGAGAGAGTGAAAGAGTGCATGTGGGGGGAGGAGCACAGGGAGAGGAAATCTCAAGCAGACTCTGCGTCTAATGCCGGGCTTGATCTAATCTCACAAAAATCAAGAGTCCAACACTCAACCTATTGAGCCACCTAGATGCCCCCGTATATCTTTTTAAAAAGGGGAACATGGTTTTAAACATTGCAGTGCAGCAAGATGCTCACAGTTTGAGATGCGTATGGTGATTCAAACATGAAGGGAGCATCATATTTTTATTGCTCATCCCCTATTCACTCTGGAGCAAGTATTCAGTGTATTAAATAGTGGCAGAATCTCCAGTATTATTGTTTTTGTCTGTCTATAACTTTTAATTGGCCTATTTTATTTGGTTGATTCAAATAAGTAAATGTGCCTATGATATAACTCCACTGTATTAACTAATTGATGGCAATAATGTACAAGTTAGGAATAAGGGGCAAAAATCATTTTTAGAATTTACTGTGAAAAATTACCCTCCTTTGAAATGGCGTACTAGAGGATTATAAATGTAATGTGTCTACAAAGGCTGATTTCTGAATTCTGATCTTGACCGTGTTAACTCTTTTACAACTCACTTTTTAGAAGTAAAATATAAATATTCCAGTTTATTTTTTAAGATCTGGTTTGTGGGCATATAATTCTGTTTTAAGTATTGAAATCTTAAATTCTAATTTTACTCCATTCACAACCTACTCCTGTCATTCCAGTGTTTTTATCCCTCACCTAATTATATCACTTTGACTCCCCCCACCCCAATAATTCTCTAGCATCCATGATTGCCAACAGCTAATTTTTGACTTTATGTTCGTTAGGAAATATAATTTGGCTGTTTTGGAGATTTTATTTGTTTATAATGAAAAATACAGTAACTATATTTTCCTAAAGTTGCTGTCAAGCAGTCCGACCCCTTTTAGAGTTTCGAAACACAGATTTGAAATATGAAGGATCTTAAAACTTGCTATGTGGTATTTCAGAATAATGTGTACTAGAATTCTAGCCCACTGGTTGTTGGTTATTATCATTTCACAAAGGGAAATATATTCCTGTCAGATTTTTTTCTTCCCTATTTGAATGTTTAAAAGGGCAATGAATTTCTTCAAGACCTTTTCTTTTTTATCTGTATGTATATCTAATCAACATTCTGAAGATTCATTCAGATAATCAGAGGTGGCTACTTCTGGCCAATAAAAGTAGTCTTTTGGGTTTTAGTCTTTTATAAATTATATGCTGAGGTGTTAAGATTTATTATTTAAAGGAATTTTTTCATTTATTTATTTGCCATTTAGTAGGTCATACTAAATAAGGGATAAAAATTACTGAGGTAACTGCTACATAGGACAGTTTATCTTTTTTTTTTTTTTTTATCAGCTGTGGCTACCAGCAACCATCCTCTCCACCCTTTCGGGGATGGAGAGGAATGCCTCCATTTTTTTTTATTATTGTTATGTTAATCACCATACATTACATCATTAGTTTTTAATGTAGTGTTCCATGATTCACTGTTTGTGCATAACACCCTTCAACCCACGCAAAATGTGCCCTCTTTAATACCCATCACCAGACCAACCCATCCCCCCCACCCCCCTGCCCTCTAGAACCCTCAGTTTATCTTAAATGTGTATTCACTGTAGTCTTACAAACCAGAAATTTTATTTTTTTTACGATTTTATTAGAGAGAGAGAGCACATGAGAGGGGGGAGGGTCAGAGGGAGAAGCAGACTCCCTGCTGAGCAGGGAGCCGGATACGGACTTGATCCTGGACTCCAGGATCATGAACTGAGCCGAAGGCAGTCGCTTAACCTACTGAGCTGCCCAGGTGCCCTAAACCAGAAATTTTAACCATGAACATTAATGATGTGTCTTTAAGACCTCCAACATGAACGTCTTTTCCTTTTGTTTGGACCTCAAATCCAGAACTTAATTCTCATCATTTAGGCTCTATTGTCGTACTACTACTGTCCCTATGTTATAAAACCTCAACCCTAGATCATACCAACCTTTGTTCCTTTAAGGGTTGTGATTAAACTTTTGCCTCTGTCTTCAAAATTTTTTTCTCATTGTCTTTTGAATAGTTTCAGCAGATCTCAACGAAAATAAGAGTCATTTTGGTGGAATTCACTTTCACCACCTTTTTCTCTCCTCATTCACTTTCTGCTTCACCATGTTACAAACATATCTGCATTTCCAAGTATCCATCCCTCCCTGCTTTTCCTGCTAGCAGTCTTATCTCTACCTCATGCTTTTATTCTCGTTCTTCCCTATAGTCTCAGGGACTCTACTCCCTTAGTCATAGCCTTCTGATTATTCAGCGTTTCCCTCTCTCTACTGGCTCTCCCCTGGTTATGGAATTGTGCTCAACTCTCTCCTGTATTTCAAAAACTCTTGACCCAGTGTATTTTACTATTTCTTGCCCTTTCTCCTTTTCTTCTTGGCCAGGTTCCTTGAAAAAATAGCTTGTACCCATTTTATTACCTCATTTTCTCCCTTTCATTTATCCTTCAACCCACTGAAATTTGCTTTCTCCCCCAGTTTTTTTTTTTAAAGTGTGTGTGCTAAACTCACCCAAGACCTGAGAGTAGCCAAATACTGTGAACTCTCTAACAGCATTTGAAACATTCTCTTTTCTTGTGGTAACACTTTTTTCATATGACAACTCTTTGCTGATCTCTTTCTTAGAATTCTGTTCTTGGCCCTCTACTGTCTACTCTCAAGAGGTTTTTAGGGGTTCATGTGGATGGATTCCATGGTATCCATGAGGCTTCTGAAATGAAGTACAAAATATATATGTGTATGTCTGTTTTCTCAGAAGGTCCACAGGTTTATTTATATTTGACTTAAAGCAGTGTGTTCACTCATGGTTTTAACTACCTTGAAGTGATAACACTAAATTCTCTATTTCTAGCCCACACCTTTGATAGGGAATCCAAAACTGATTATCTTGCTTGATGGCACATGATCAAAATTTTCCAAAGCAGAATTAATCAGTCATCTTTCCTCTTCCTGTATGCCATCTAGACATATATACGCCACCATTCTACCTCTCCTAAATCAAAAATTTGGGGGTCCTGCTTCTTTCCCCTTCATCTTCACAGGCTAGCCCACCCATTCTATCTTTCAAATAAGTATCTCTCAAATCCATCTTCTGCTTTTTCTTGCCTCAGTTCCACCGTCTTTATCTGTCATCTGGCTTATTGTAATAAATAACTTTCCAACTGGTTTGTTGGCCTCTAGTTTTTTTTTTTATTATGTTATGTTAATTACCATACATTGCATCATTAGTTTTTGATGTAGTGTTCCATGATTTATTGTGTGCATATAACACCCAGTGCTCCATTCAGTACGTGCCCTCTTTAATACCCATCACCAGGCTAACCCATCCCCCCACCCGCATCCCCTCTAGAACCCTCAGTTTGTTTCTGAGAGTCCATGGTCTCTCATGGTTCATCTCCCCCTCCGATTTCCCCCTCTTCATTCTTCCCCTCCTGCTATCTTTTTTTTTTTTTTTTTAACATATAATGTATTATTTGTTTCAGAGGTACAGGTCTGTGATTCAACAATCTTACACAATTCACAGCACTCATCATAGCACATACCCTCCCCAGTGTCTGTCACCCAGCCACCCCATCCCTCCTACCCCCCACCATTCCAGCAATCCTCAGTTTGTTTCCTGAGTCCTCATATCAGTGAGATCATATGATACATGTCTTTCTCTGATTGACTTATTTCGCTCAGCATAATACCCTCCAGTTCCATCCACATCATTGCAAATGCCAAGGTTTCATTCCTTTTGATGGCTGCATAACATTCCATTTTATATATATACCACATCTTCTTTATCCATTCATCTGTCGATGGACATCTTGGCTCTTCCCATAGTTTGGCTATTGTGGGCATTGCTGCTATAAACATCGGGGTGCACATACCCCTTCAGATCCCTACATTTGTATCTTTGGGGTAAATGCCCAGTAGTGCAGTTGCTGGGTCGTATGGTAGCTCTATTTTCAACTTTTTGAGGAACCCCCATACCGTTTTCCAGAGTGGTTGCATCAGCTTGCATTCTCACCAACAGTGTAGGAGGGTTCCCCCTTCTCCGCATCCCCGCCAACATCTGTCGTTTCCTGACTTGTTAATTTTAGCTGGTGTGAGGTGGTATCTCATTGGGGTTTTGATTTGGAGTTCCCTGATGCCGAGCGATGTTGAGCACTTTTTCATGTGTCTGTTGTGCTGGCCTCTAGTTTGACCCACCTTTAATCTGTTCACCAAACTTAAACCTGAGTAATTTTTCTACAATATGTTAATTTTTTTTCAATGACTCTGATTGTCAGGAAAAAAAGTGCTTAGATTGAGACATGGTGTTGGGTCTCTGCTTACATCTTTATTCTTATTCCATGGGTCTCCAAATGTACATTATATAGGGCTTTTCTTTTAAGCAGTAAGTCTGTTATTTTAGTTTTCTCCTGCATACCCTTACCTTTTCTTTAAAAGGCAACTCATTCAAGTCCTGTAGATCTCAACTTCTGTCCTTATCTACCTTCCTTCCCACTCTCTTAGATATTCCACTTCTGTCTTCCTACAGTTTTATTATAACTATTCTTAGCCATACTGTAAGCTTGTTATTCAGAGCAAGTGCAGTCAAAACCCGAAATGTATTTTTTTTAATCTTTAGAGCC